GGGAGGGAGGGAGGGAGGGAGGGAGGGAGGGAGGGAGGTGTTGGATAGCAATTTCCTCAGAGGTTTCACACTTTTCATCCTGCAGGGAAGCTCTTCAAGCTTCTGAAGTAAACAAATCAAAGGCTTCTGGAGTCTCTGAAACTGAACAGACTCTTTAACAGCCCCCCCCCCCACACACACACATAAGCAGTAAGAACTGTTGGGAGATACTCACAGATCAGACACCAGGAGGGGTCAAGTTATCTGGAAAAGATGGTCTCCTGATTGTGGAGCCCCTGCAGCTGTGGCTTGCACTCCACATTTTCCATCTTGACCCATTACCCACACTGGGGTGGACTTTGGTGGCACAGCCGCTTTTGAGTGATTTCTGCTCCTGTAAGGGACCCCAGCACACTCACTGACTGACCAACTGGACTTTCATGGGTTCCTTGCTTTGGCTGTTACTGGTTCCCTGTCTGGGATGAACAGATATTTGTGCATATTTCCATAGCAACAGTGTGACACAATGGGAGGGAGGGAGGGAGGGAGGGAGGGAGGGAAGGAGGGAAGGGGGGAGGGAGGGAGGGAGGGAGGGAGGGAGAGAGGGAGGGAAGGAATGAACTAGCTGAACTACCGAACCATGCACCAAAGGATGCCTCTGAAATGAGAGGTTCTGCATCTCGGTCCATGCCAAGTTCAATGTTGACTTGCTAAGACTACAGATATTTAAGAACCTTCATAATTTCTCTTGGGGAACTGTGATAATTATCAATGTGGCTTTTATTATTTTTTTAAATGGTGATCACTAACCTAGATCTGAGATTTAAAGCAAGAGGGGAGAGATATTGACTTCATGCCTGACGCCTAAATGCTCTCACCACACATTCCGGGGACCAGATGACTGGCTGCTGAGATGAATGAATGAATGAAAATATGAATGATCCAATGCTTCAAATCGCCAGTTTCCCATGACCTCACTCCCGGCAAACGTCAGTGCTGACTACAAATCCGCTCAGCCCGCACCCAAGGCCTCTCCTGCTTACTGCTAAGCAACATCCGTCATCCCTCCTGTTAAGTCCATCCTCTGAGAACATCAGAAGCCACGGGGGGCCAGGGAGATGGCTCAGCGCTCAAGAACACATATGGCTCTTGCAGAGGACCAGAGTTCGGTTGCTAGCAATCAAATGGTGGCTCACAACTGTGAAGTCCAGTTCCAGGGATCTGACCCACTCTTGGGGCTCTGCAGGCACCCACACATGTGCATGGTGTACACACACTCATCGACATTCAAATTCTAAAAAATTAGTACAAATCTATTTTAAAAACAGAGAAAAATGCAGGAGCCGTCAGCACTCAAAGGCAATTCTTAAGGAACGATTTAAAAAATGATTTGAGTGACAGCCACGTTGTGCCAGGGGCATGCCTCTTAGACCAGTTTGCACATCTGCTTTCTCTTTCCTAGGGTCAGTCTTTGAGTTTCCAGATCACCCCGCGTCACCTTCTCAGCACTGTCCCAGGGGCAGACGCCAGTGCTCTGGATTTAGTTGATGGATTTCTATCAGGTGATCAATTTTCTGGCCAAAGGTGATTACCCCACTGAACAAGTTGGGTTCAACTGCCCAACAAAGTACAAAAGCAACTAAACTTTGGTCTATAATTCGTGTCTCCACTTCCACAACTGAGTGCTCTTAGATAACACTGCCCATCTGATTGCTTTTATAACTGACTTTCATTTCCTGAAGAAACAGCGTTTACCAACGTGTTCTCACCAGGCACTCTGTATTTTGAGCCACTAGCGAGAAAACACGACTATAATATTACCTGGTCTTAAAAACAAGACAGGAGGGAAGGACCACAACTGTCAACCAATCCCCTCCGTCGATGAGAAAGGCCTCCACCCTGGCCTCGGGCGGTGATCTTCCAGGGTGTTTGCTGTTACCTTGGTTCCACGTAAAAGACAACAGAGAGTCCTGATAGACAAAGACCACAACAAAGGAGGGGTTCCCTCGGTGGCAGTAGAGCTGCTACAAGAGCAGAGAAAGAGTGAAGACAGCCTGACTTTCCAGACCACAGTTTCTTCCCTTAGGACTGGATGAGAATGAATGTTGAGCTTTGAACACTCAGCACAAGTGTGAACCTCACCAAAGAGTCTGTGCCAAGGCTAACTCATTTGCTCTCCTGGCAACACTGGTTACGGAGCGTTCTAGGGGGTCCAGTGAGCACAGTGCTGGGGGAACTGACAGGCAGCAGGGACTTTTTGGTTTATTTTGTTTTTTAAGAGAGGGGTGCTCACGATCTAGACCAAACTGGTTATAATCACCCTACCTCGGCCTCCAGGATGCTGGGTTACAGGTGTCTGCCACTGTACCAATGTGAATGGAGACTGCTGTTCATTCATTTCCTGGTCACCCAGACCCAAATAATCACACAAAATCTGTATTAATTTCAACACTCTTTGCCCAACGACTCAGTCATATTCCTAGCTAGCTCTTACATTTTAAGTTAACCCATTTTTATTATTTTATATTTTACCACGAGGCTCACGGTTTGTTACCTCTTGCTTCTTGGGTGGCTACATGGTGTCTTCCTAACTCCGCCTTCTTTCTCCCTGCATTCAGTTTAGTTTTCCCGCCGACCTATACTCTACCCTGCCAAAGGCCAAAGTGACTTCTTTATTAACCAATGGTAATAAAACATATTCGCAGCAGTCAGAGGGGAATCCCACATCATGCCTTTCCATTTATTGGATTTTTTTGCTGAGGAGGGTCCCACCCTACAGCCCAGGCTAGCTTAGAACTTACTATGTAGCGTAGGCTGAGGTGGAATTCATCGAAACCTTCCTGGTACAGGCTCTGGAGTGCTGGGATTTCAGACAGCCATGTGTCAGCTCACCTGGCTCTCTCGGAAATGTTATTGCATTCTCTCCGGAGGAGCAAACACTTAAGTAGCTAGCGAGTTTTTGTCTTCATTTGTCTTCAGTTGCTGTGTCCATCAAACACCTGCTGCAGGCTCGCACACAGAGCAGTGCTTGGGTTCCTCAGCAGAAGTTGAGCCCCTACCGGTGTAGGAGATGCTGGAGGAGTCAGGAGGAGCTAAAGTGTGCATGTCTAGTTTCCTCCTCTTTCTTCCCCAAAGGCCTCACGCACCTTTCGGTGCGTCTTAAAATAGCGCCGCCGGTATCCTAGGAAGTAGACCTGGACATAACTGTTTAAGCTGACGTCAGTCGTGTCTGCTTTCTCTTGGAGAGGAGGTGCACTTCCTACTTACTTGCCTGCTGAGCTCACGCCTTGGGGCATGTGCTCTGTGGGTCATTTTGTAGGTCAGAACTTCTGGAGGTAGTGTGGGAGGTGACACGCAGGCCTCATCCTGGTTGCCGCTCCTGACGAGGCTCTTTGAGCAGCCTAATGTCGAGAGGTGTCAGGACGCTCCGCTCGATGTTTCAAGAAAAGAAGTCTTGCTGTCAAGGGCCCGATTGTGTGAACAATGTTCAGCACCTCCTGCTTGGATTCTGCATCTCCCGGGCCCATTGCGTGGCCTTCCCCCTTCACACCGCCTTTCTTTTTAGCAGTTTCTGGAGTACACACCTCCAGGGAGACACTGGAGAAGGAAAAGAAACACAGGTTCGTCAACTTCGCCCAAATCCACTCTTCATCTTCCCAGGATTCTCTGGTTCCAAAGCAGGCCGTAGGAGCATCGGGTGGTCTTGGGGGAGATGAGGCAGCCTCTGCGTGGGACCCACAGGACCCATCTCACTGAAAGGTGGCAGCAGAGGGGGTATTTTCCGAAAGGTACACATGAACACATGCCTGCTTGTTGAAATATGAGCGGCGGCGGGGCTGCGTCCCCAACACCCCGGCCGCTTGGCTAGTTTATGCCCGAAATAACAACACACAAACTGTATTCATTTAAGAACTGCTTGGCCCATGAACTCTAGCCCTTATAGGCTAATTCTAGCACCTGGACTAGCCCATTTCTAATAACGCATGTAAGCACCCCAAGGTGCGCTTACCGGGAAGATTCTAGCCTCTGTCCATCCTGGGAGAGTTGAGCATGGCGTCTCTGCTCCAGCAGAGCTGTCGGGTCTCTCTAGGAGCAGAGCAGAGTCTGACCTCACTTCCTCTTCCGCCCAGCATCCTATTCTGTTTATTCCACCCACCTATGTTCTAAGCTATGAGGCCAAGCAGTTGGTTTATTATAATTAACCAATTACCTTCCTCCATCACCTGCTAAGACAGTTCAGCGGTTATGGGTTTTAATGCCTAAGCTGCGAGAATCAGCAGGGAAACAGACAACATTGTACATGTCTGTGTGAGCGTGACCGGGCACAGCTGGGTGACTCCTTCACTAAGCATGGCTTTTTACAATTGTTTTGTTTTAATGACTTCTGGCCACTGTGCTAGTCCATAGCTGCACTAGCACAGCTCCACAGGGCCCTTTGAGCCCAAGGCTGCACTGTAAAATCAACCTTTCTGATCCTGGATCTGTAAAGCTACTGCAATACACTGGCAGGACGTTCGCTGACTGGCGTGTTAGGGAATAAGGCCTCCTATGCACATGTGGGAAACAGCAGGCCTCTGGAGAAAGAGACCCACCCTGCTCTGGACTCCTCCGGCCAAATGACCATTGCACCATGTGCTGTGGGTCCCTCCTCCATATTGAGAAAGAACCAGTGGATCACTGTGAGGAGATCCAGCCATAGGCGAGACGGAATCCCTTCCACCCCATCTCCATGATCTGACTCTCCCTGAGCTCTTGTGACGGACATGATTACTGTTCTGCCTCTCTCCCAGAAGACCCGAGTCTCTGAAGGGCACAGGATTTAAACCAGCCCAGATAACCATGCCCTTGTCGGGTCTTTACGGGTCTTGTGTCTTCAAGTTCCTCAGAAGACATTCAGGTTTTTATCCCACACCAGACTCAGGGAGAATGCAGCAGGCGCCAGGCTCACTAGAAACCTGACTGGAACATGTCAGTGGGGGTCGAGGCTGGTGGGCATCTCCCAACTTCCTGGGTCTGTGTTCAGAATCATAGCTGCACCCGGCCCAGACTCCGTTCCATTTGCTGTTCCCTGCATCCAACCTGTCCCGTGTCACTGTTCCTATACTTTTGTTATTCTTTGACAATTTCATATGTATTTTCAATGTACCTTGGTCATCGTCATTCCCCACGCCCTCCCTCATCACAGTCCCACTGGACCATTTCTTCTTTCCACCCCCTTCTCCAGTGCCCCCTCCTCCTTCCAGCACAGTCATGGGTTGTGCTTTTGTTACCCCGAGTTTAATTAGGGTTGCTCACATGAACACGGGTGGGAGGTTGCTTACTGGAACAAAGACTACTTATTGTTGAAATAAGGAGCGGCAGGGCTGCGTCCCCGGCACCCGGCCGCCCGCATGGCTAGTTTATACCCAGAAATAATTACACGGAAACTGTATTCTTTCAAACACTGCCTGGCCCGGCTAGGTCCAGTTTCTTATTGGCTAGCTCTTACATATTGTTCTAACCCATTTCTAATATTCTGTGTAGCCCATGAGCTGGCTTACCAGAGAGGATCTTAACCTGCGTCTGTCTGGAGTGGGAGCATCATGGCGACTCTTCCTCTAACCTTCTTTCTCCCAGAATTCTCTTCTGTATACTCCGCCTACCTAATTTTCTATCCAATAAAATGGGCCAAGGCAGTTTCTTTATTAGTAAGAAATCATTCCCACATCATTTCCCCTTTTTCCGTTTAAACAAAAAAGAAAGGCTTTAACTTTAGCATAGTAAAATTACATATAACAAAACAGTTATCAAGTAAGAATTACAGTTACAATATTTATATCTATTTTATCTCTTATCATAACTAAGGAAAACTATAACTATTTATTCTTCAACTCCATCAAAGACTCCAGAAGGATATAATATTATCTAAGTAAACAAGAAATAAGAAAACTCTAGAAATGACAGAGACATCTCGCTGCCTGGACAGTCACCCAAAGTTCCTCTGTACCGTTGGGGCATCCATCTTCGGCCTACAGGCCCATGGTATCCAGATACATTTCCATGAAGCAGGAAATTTTAAAGACAGTTCAGTCACTTTCTGCTGTGTTCTGTAGAATGTCTTGTAGACTCTTTCATGAATCAGGAACCCCGAAAGACCATCTCACCTTTAGGCAAGTTCAGCAGTCCTCTCTCTGAGGGTTCTCTGTGTCCAGTTTATGCAACAGTCCAGGCAAGAGCAGTTTCTTGCCCAAATGACTATCCAACTCCATAAGGATCCTCTTCGATGCCCATCTTCCTCTTGAAGTAGCTGGTGCTGCCAGGAGCAGACGTGTCTCCTTGTCATGAAAAGTCCTAAGTTATTAAAATATTTTAAATGCCATATTCTGCAGTCTTTGAAAGATATGAAGAATGCCTATCTAATTGAAATATATCTCTATATATCTAGAAAATCTAACTAACATGACTACAAGCTTAACTATTAGCAATGATTATCCATTAACAACCTATATTTCCTAATTATACATTACATTTTAAGTGAACTACATAATCACAATACCTTAATCAAGTTCAAAAATACATATACATATAACAAAATTGACCTTAAAATCCATACCAATGCAAATTATTCATATCTATATCATATCCCCCTTTAAATGTAAAAGAACATTTATAAACAATATTTGGGAACATGGGCGTAGTTTTTTCTCTCCAAACTGCTTCCTGCTGAATGGGGGCACTGTTAATCAGATCATTTAGGGTGTAACCTGTGTGTCAGGTTCATCTCGGTTGGCAGTTGAGTGAAGTAATTTTTTGAGGGTGTTCACAGCAACCTTTCAGGAGGGCGTGGTCTATCATACCATACCGGGATAGATGCAATCCATAGGGTCACATCCTCTGTGGAAACAAAAGAAGACCCTCTCCAAAGCATCATATCCTTAGATCCAAATTTTGAAGTCAAGATACCTTTAGAACATATGTGCAGGTTCAGCTTAGCAGCCCATATAATAAAATGTCTCTTTGTACTTAGCTCCTTCACAGTCAAAAATTTTAAAGAAAACACAATGTACATAATCCAGACTCTCTGTGAATTTTTCATTTTTACGTGGCTTATTTTTCTTTATTTCTCTTAATCTATAACTATCTGTACTTCTGTACTCTGTCTCTTTAAAGACTTTACCCTTTTTCTTTTTAAGACATTAACTTTATTCTTTATATTCTCTTTTTTTCCCCAAGCCTACGTACATTCATCCAACGGTGTCTGAATCTGTTTTACTGTGAATCTGTAATTTTTTTTTTTTTTTCCAGGAGCATTTCTTAAAATGTTAAGCATTTCTTAAAAACTTAAGTTGCACCATGTATAGGTAATACGGTACTGCCTGTGTCCTGCCCAGTCTAAACCTTAACTGCACGGTTTTAAGGTAATTACGGTAGTTCCTGCCTGAGATCAGCACAGTTCAGCAAGGAGCAGCCGCTCCTGCCTCAGAGTCATTTGGTGCTTTTGAGCTGAGCACAGTTACAGGCAAACAGCAGTTTACATTGGAGCCGCAATCAGCAATTTAATTTTGAGACTGAGTGTGCAGCACAGAAACTCTTTTTATCCAAGTTACAGCCAAATCTGACACGCAGAGCACTGCGCAGTCTGAAAACGCGTCTCTGTATGGCAGCAGGAATCCGCCATGCTCTTCCGCCTGCCTAAGCCTGATTCCGCCATCTGCCCAGGTGTAGGCAGGGAACGCTGAGCCATCGGCAGGTCTCAGAGCAATCTCCTCCGATCCCAAGTGGGAACAGAAACATCCAGTCCCATAAAAGCCTTGAAATGCTTTAAAGCCAGAGTTCACGCTGGCAGCATAGCACCAGGAAGCCGCGCTTTAAAATGACGCAGCTTTTTTTCTCTGCTGCTGTTGCTGAATCAGGAATCTCTCTACAGCATGTCACCAACAAAACAGCAAAAATCTGTGTTAAACTCTGTTTCCCTTATTTTTAAGGCTTCTCAGGTTTTTAAGTGGATTTAGCCCCACGTTGGGCGCCATCTGTTGAAATAGGAGCGGCAGGGCTGCGTCCCCGGCACCCGGCCGCCCGCATGGCTAGTTTATACCCAGAAATAATTACACGGAAACTGTATTCTTTCAAACACTGCCTGGCCTGGCTAGGTCCAGTTTCTTATTGGCTAGCTCTTACATATTGTTCTAACCCATTTCTAATATTCTGTGTAGCCCACGAGCTGGCTTACCAGGGAGAATCTTAACCTGCGTCTGTCTGGAGCGGGAGAATCATGGCGACTCACTCACTAAGCTTCTTTCTCCCAGAATTCTCTTCTGTTTTCTCCGCCTATCTAATTTTCTGTCCTATGAGGGCCGAGGCAGTTTCTTTATTATTAACCAATGAAATCAACAGATAAGATACAAGACCCACCTCCATCAACTTATAGTGGCTCTACCACTGAAGAACATCCCCCAAATTTTAACCAAGGAGTTCAGAATTTACTATTCATGTCTTTTCCTAGTGTCCCCTCCATCCTCACATCTCCCCACTCAAGCTGGATGACACCCCATATCTGCATCGCTACCGCATACCCGTTGGTCTGCAGACCTTAACTTGCCTGACTGTGCAGCAAGGGCTCTTACCCTTGGCTAGCATTTGCAAACCTAATCCAAGCACACAAGTGCCCTCTCTCTCTTAATGGTGATGTATATCACATGCACAAAACATTATAGTACATAGAAATGAAAGACTGGATGGGAGGTCTGAGGGCTCCACTTCACTGTCAGCTTGGCTATATTTGGGATCTACCTGGGAAACAGACCTCTGGCCGTGGATGTTTCCGAGATGATTAACAGAGGGGGGAAACAACCCTGAATGTGGATGACATATCTACAGGCTAGGGCTCCAGAACCAGCATTCTCCACTCCCAGCCTCCTAATTGAAATGTGAAGAGTCCAGGGTACTTAAAGTCCTTACACCCAAGGGACTCAGCTCCAGGGTAAGCTTCTCTGACTTACAGCTTCAGGGATTTCTTGGACTTTTAGTGGGTGTAAACAAGTTGGTGTCTTTGGGGACTTCTCTCAGCTTCCCAGTCCCTCCCCCAGGATGACCTTGACCATGGCCACGGGGTAGCATGACTATTTGAAGCTGAACATCCTTGACTGTTATAGGTGAAAGTTCCCAGTAGCCCAGCATGTACCTGAGTGCTTGGAACCACACATCAGCCAATCACACAGCCAGGCCTTAATGAGCCTCAGCTGGAATAACGAGCCACTGACGTGCAATTCTAATATCCAGTAATTCCTAGAAGCCCAGAGGGAACACCAGCAGTAAGATGGTGCACAAGAGCCATGCGCCATGCTCCTGATGTCCTTTCCTTTGCATCTTCTCTTGGGGTCTTTACCACAACGCAACACTGCTGAGCTATTCAGATTCTTTAATTACCTGTATGTGTTACACATGGTACTGCATCTCATAAAGCAGATCACACACAGATACACCGTGTGCTTTCCGCACACCCCACCCCTGCTCCTCCCTTGTTCCATTAGAATGTTCACTCTACCCAGTCTCTCTTCCTACAGCGGCGCTACCTTAAGGTAGAGTCCAACAAAGACCTTCAAGGCTCACAGTGAGAAACTTCGACTTTATTCTTAAGGTCGTAAAAACTATGCAAGAACTTGGGGAGCAAGTGAGGCGCCTGGACTCATGTGGTGAGGATGCCCGGAGTTACAGCGTGGACAGTGGACCTAGAGGGGAAGAAAGGCAGCAGTGGCGCCCGCTAGGAGGCCGCCATGATGGTCCAGCAGTAAAGCAACGGCAACGGCGACAGAGTAAACAGAGCAGGAGAACTGGGAACCAGAGAAGAGGGAAATCATTCTGAAGTATTTTATCAGTTTGGGGGTGCTGCTCCCACGGCACAGGACAAGGTGCTAAAGCAGTGACATTGAAAGAATCTAGGTCATGAAAACCAGCTGTTTACGGAGGAATGGCTAGGGTTAATCTGGACAAGCAACTAAGACAGCAAGAGCAGAGACTAAAGAGTTTTGTTATTGTCTTTGTTTTGTATGTATATGTGATATGCATGCTTGTATGTATGCATGTTCATGTGTGTTGTGTCCACTCATGATGTGTGGGGGTCAGAGGTCACTTCTCATGTTAATGCAGGGTCTCTCACAGTCTGGTACTCTGGGCATCCCTGGGGTAATAGATGGACCACCATGCCCATCCATCAGTCACTCTGATCCTCATGCTTTCAGGCACTTTACTCACCGAGCCAGCTCCCCATCCCTGAAACAGACTTTTAATACTGAACTTACTGCGTCAGCATGCTCAGAAAGGGCCACAGGCAGGTCTCGATTCCAGTGTAGACAGAGACTGCCTGACTGGCTTCATTTCATTTGTCTTAATTCGATGGCTGTGGTGTCACTGTAAGAATTTAGTCTTGTAAATAGCTAAAGACCGTCCCCCAGCATCAACTCCCCCTTGCATTTATGAGTCACAAAACCAGATGTTCTAGGAGCCACCTAGTGAATACAGCTCTTCTATCATATGACAAACCCACAGAGTTACACAACACTAATTCAGATTGAGACAGCTAAGGGAAACTGTATGTGTAGAGGCTCACGGCTGGAGTGGGAGACCACAAGCCAGAAACAGACAGAAGGATCTGTAAGTGGAAAGAGGAAAAGCAGAGGAAGAGAGAGAGAGCAAGAGAGAGGGAGCAAAAAAGAGAGCATACACAAAGAATTTCCAGATCCGAATTGTTCCTGTCTGAGAATAAAAACAAATTTTATACTTACACTATAATGTACTTCTAAAATTATTAGTTTTTTATCACAATCTTTAACTTAAAAATAATCTCCATGGAATCAACACCCTTCACAATAACCACAAATAGCATAAAATATCTCGG